GTTTAAAATCATTAAATTCAGTTTCAATTTATTGAAATTTATTTTCAAACCAATGCATTCAGTTTTAAATTCTGCACATTCAGATTCAATCTGAGCAATTCAAATTCAATTCCTGCAGGCATAAGATTTATCCCATACTTGAGTTTTAACTGGTAGATGTAGAGATGAACTGTGTTCACTGACAATCATTTTCTGAAGTATTCCTGAACCCATGTGGTAATATCATATACAGAATTATGTTGGTTTTTACTGCAGTGCTGCCTGAGGCGTCAAAAGTCACAAACATTCAGAGTTGGTTTTTAGCCTTGCTGCTTACTTGCAGAGATTGGTCCAGATCAGGGATGGGCAATCCTGGTTCTCGAGGGCCACAGTCCTGCATGTTTGACTGTTTTCCCTGCTCCAATACGGCTGATTCAGTCATTGAATTACCTCCTCCAGGTTCTGCCGAAGCCTTATAGTCACCTGTTTATTCAAATCAGGTGTGTTGGAGCAGAGAAACTAGTAAAACATGCAGGGCTGCGGTCCTCAAGGGCCAGGATTGCCCACGCCTGGCCGTTGCCTTCCTACACAGTTCCCCTCAATTCTTGTGAAGCAAAGCATGCAAGAGGTTGTTTTATACCAGTCTAGGAAAAACAGAAATAGTCATACTTTTGGGTGTTAACTGTTGTCTTTAAAGGGGACATATCCTGCAAAATCCCCCTTTTTGCTGTTAAATACATTTTGTCGTGTACTTGGTGTCTCTAGGAGGCAGAAAAGTTTAATTTAGTCTCTCCTGTTGAAAGATATTTTTATTTTCTGTCTGGGTCTTATAGTTCAGCCTGTTCAGTTTTCTCTTTTTTCCATGACGTTTTCTGAACTATTACGTCAAATAATCTGCGACAGAACTATCAAATACAGACTACAATTTCCTCATCTTTATTCTCCTGTGGTTCTGKATCAGACTCTGGTTCTGGATCAGACTCTGGTTCTGGATCAGACTCTGGCTCTGGGTCAGACTCTGGTTCTGGGTCAGTCTCTGGCTCGCAACATGTAAGGCTGGATGAACAAGTCTTCTATTGTTGACATCTTTTAATTTAATTGTAAATACAACTTTTCTACATCTCTAGAAAACGTCACCACCATACAAAATGGAGTTTGTATCAGACTAAAGTAGTCCCTTGAAGGAGAAACAAAATGTTTTTATTAAAGAACTCGTTCAGAGGACTTATTTAAATTGTTTTTGTTGGATTGGATTACTGAAAAGCATCAGGATGTTTTTGGGTGTTCTTCCAAAATAAGTTATCAGTACTTTAATGTTTACAACAAATGTTACATTAAGAGATTATAAACTCTGTAAATCAGCTGATTTYTCTTGTGTTCTGTGTTGCTTTGTAAAGTATTCCTCCCACTTCACTGCAGTTGATGGTCTCTGAACTAAATGAACCCATAACACCATCTACATGTTTCCAAAACAACACGTTTCCTCAAAAAGGAACTGATACCAAAGACCTGTTGCCCTGACATCCCACATCATGAAGGTCCTAGAGAGACTCCTGTTGACCCACCTGAGTAAGAAAACAAGCACACATCAGGACCCCCTGAAGTTTGCTTATCGTCGTGGAGTTGACGACGCCATCATACACCTGCTTCAACAAACCCACTGTCATCTGGACAAAGCAGGCAGCACTGTGAGGATCATSTTCTTTGATTTCTCCRGTGCTTTTAACACAATTCAGCCTGAGTTGCTTTGTCTGAAACTCCAGAAGACTCCGGTGGAGGCCTCAACAATCGCCTGGATCAAAGACTCCCAGTCAAACAGACCACAGTTTGCGAGACTGAAGGACTGTGTGTCTAACCAGGTGGTCAGCWGCACAGGAGCACCACAGGGAACTGTACTCTCACCATTCCTGTTCACATTGTACACTTCAGACTTCCAGCACAAGTCAGACTGCTGTCATCTACAGAAATACTC